AAGACCTTATCACGCTGACAAGGGTAACATCACGGTTACTGGACAGGGACGCTTACATGATGAAAATGACATTATTAGGTGACTTCGACACGTATGTTCCATTTAAGAAAGATCCTATCAAGAAACTTACGACATCGTTAAGGTCTATGCTCACTAGATGAAAAACGAAAGGTTTTATTAAGGACTCGGTAGCTTTGGTTAGGATTGCGCCGATACAATATGGATGTGACTCTGTTTGTGAGAATTCTACATTGTATGTTATTAATCCTTCCTTTGTTTCACAGTACAGTTTGTTCCCTAGTTCCTTTATTTCCATACATCCCAGCTTTTCCTTCACAGAGGTCATCTTCCTTAACCATCAGAGAGGGATGGTTCTTGAACTTATCGTCCTCTGACATTCCTTGTAACATACGATGTTTTTTACAGTTAAGAGAGAATTTTGCTCTCCCTTTCAATAATAAAAACAAGTTAATTTTTGAATGTATTAAGGTTGAGAGTAGCACGCACAGCGCAACATCAACATGCCCCTTGATAGGAGGATTGAGGTTACGAACAAACAATTGTTAAACATGGAGTCTGATCACACAAAGCACGCATTGTCCATAGACTGCACGTTGATTATCGCCTTCTTCAGCATTTCTCACGAGAGTTCGATTCGGCATCCCGTGCGCATGAAATTTAATTTATTTACGTTAACAGTTAAGTTGAGGATTCGCTACAGCGCCCATCCGCTGTCGCATTCCTGGAATTCTTTGAGCGATGCCTCGACGGCCAACGTGGCCTCGATGATGTGCTGCTCGTATCACTCACGCAAATCGGTGCATCGAAAGAGTTCAAAGTTTCGGATAGTGATACTTTTATTTGTGCGTTTATTATCTGCTATGAATTCGCCCTTAAATACAGTGCTTATCTTGATAGAGTCATAAATTTACATTACGCTCTGTACACGCTCAATCACAATTTTACTCGCGTCTTCGAGGAATCTGCGAGGTTCGATATAATTGGAGTTTATTACCGCGACCTCGTCAGAATATGATTTTCGAACGCCATTTTGATCTGAACGGAGTCCCACATTGTATCCAGTATATATACGAATCATCTGTGCACTAATTCCTTTAAACTTTCGAGCCGTGGGATACGTGCGATCAGTGATTGTCTATTACTGATCAATAATCGCAGGCGTTTCACGGCTTTGTTCCTTTAGATATTCGATATATTTATCTCAACACTGTTCTCACGCGATATACTCCTTTGGTGTTTAACTAAGCAGCTTACTCTATCAAATCACGCTCCATGTTGTCACTTATGTTATCTGATTGACTAATGACGCGATGCGCGTAGATCTTTTTATGTTATACAATATTATTATGAGCATTACTTGACAACATCGCAATTGTATATTAAAATTACATTAATGATATCATCATCCGGACATGTGACATGTCGTAAAATGTCGAATACTCTTGAAAAAAATTTCATATATTACATTAAATCTAACAAAGCTATTGTACATCAGCGCTTGCGAAATTGCAAACATTGCATTTTTGCCAAATCATATTGATGATACAATAAAAACAAATTGACATATATATGTATACAATATATACAATAAAAACAAATTAGGCATATAAGGTGTCAATAAATTAAAGAAATTCATCTTTGTTTAAAGAAATAAATTTAAAACGTATTTAAAAAAAAATCTCACATTTTATTTTAAACTTGATACTTTTTTTGGCATTGCGAACACCAATTGTATATCTTAAGTACATTCTGTAACGCACAATTCTTAACATGTTTTATATATCGCATAGTATTAATAACATTTAGATTATTCAAAGAATCTATATCTTCGTAATCAGTATCCAGCGTCTCAATGGTCAAATCGTCGCTATCGAGTATATCCACTAACCATTCGCGTTTTCACATTCTTTAACGTTATACGAAAGCCTTATTGACATCATTTTCTTCCGCACCAATTATAATACAGCCATCCTAATCAGGTGTTTTATCATGCTGTACAGGATCATCCCGTCTTCCCATCGCAATCCTTGGTGATAAGCACTCAGCCAAGAAGCGCAATACTTTCTGGATTTTGTCAAGAAATTCTATGGCATGAGACATGTAAAAATGTAATAAGAGAAAATGGCTCCTTTTCTCAATACCGTCTCTTCCTTCACGATAAATTTCTTTTCGACGATAAATCCTAGCAGATCCACAAACGTTGGCACGGCGAACGATTTTTCGATATTGCGATCGATTTCGATGAATCGTTTATTTCGTGTATGATGAGACAATAGACTGTAGTATTTGCAGGCATATTCTTCTTGCAGTTAAATTTTATGCGTACATCCACTGTAGCGCTCTTGATGTTTTGTCTTGACGAATAGTTAATGATCGCAAAAGGTCCTTTCTCGACAAACGAGAGCACATTGAATAGCGTTTCGAAGCAATCGATTTCGTAATATGCTTTACGAAAACGCGCGTACATATCAAATAGAATAGCGTATCTCTTTTTATCAAAATCCAAATTGAAATCATCGTACAGATGAAAATCTGAATTTAGATAGAGTTTCCCGTTACTCAAATTACAAGCTTCGAACGCACTTGCAAATCTTGAAATATGTTGTTCTTTCGATCGGTCTGCAGAGCAAAAATAACGTATCGCGGCTTCTCGAGCTAACTAGCCGTTTTGACGAAAAAGCTCATGAATGTTTGGTCGTATTTTGTAACAGAGGATATTCATACAAATCCCATGAATGAAAACTCATGCTCAGATAACGACCGCTTTCTAATGTTCATAACATCGACAGCTTATTTTTTTTGTTCAACACGTGTGATATACACCACTGCAATTTGAACAAATCAAGCGTCGGTTTGTCACCGAATCTCCAATCAGACAATTGTTGCGCGATCTTATCAATATCAACTTATGACGAGCGTTAATGACCATGCGTTTGTAATCCTCGAAAAAACCCAATAGCATGTTGAGTGGTACACAAAAATTAAAGTGTCTTTCCTCTGTGTCAGATCTAGTGTTCCATCCAGTGTTTAGCGCGATCAAAGATTTGTCATACATCAGCGACACTTAGTTCTTGATAGTATTGGTAATTCCGACGTTTCTGTTGAGATCAATCTCCACACCGAGTTTGTATCAAATTTCATCAAACATGAACGCGATGCAATTATTTGCCAATATCGCGGTAGCACTTTGAATCTCTTTGTTCCTCATCAGTTTTCCCTCACATATAGAAAACTTTCACACGGCAACGTATATAAATTCTGTTGCTGTATGGGTATTCTTATCGCGCCGCTGTGCCAAACGTTGTGTTGGTAAAGGGATTGAACGTGTGGTCACAAACTTTACGATGCAATCGAGAATCGGATCGTTCTTGATGTTTAGAATCTCATCTCGAAAGTTGTGTACCGTGAATCCCAAACATTTAAAAATTTTAACGTTCGACGGGCTGAGCCTCGTCTTTCTGATGCAGCTGAATGAGTGAATGTTGTTGAGCGATGTTACTGGCCTTGCAGTAGAGAAAAAATGCGTTATCTCTTTGCGAGCGCTCCGCTTCGTTCAACACGAGCATTTGACGCTTGCGCTATTGCTGTCGTCGTTGCACGTGCAATCTGGTGACGAAAATCTCTTCTCCTCGAAAATCGAGCAATCGTCCGTTTTGATCGACAACGCGTATTGTTAGATCCGTAATGCCGTGCGATGACTGGTAGATAAATTATTTGTACAGGCCTTTCCGATATCTTATATCCCGACGGCGAAAATTTGTGTATCGTGTACGCGTGTTTGGTGTTCGCACTCGCGGTCACATTACGCTCTATGCGGATAACGTTTACGTTCATTATGTTGACTGACACGTCCAATTCGTGCCATCTTCGTTGTCATAGAATACGCTTTGATGAGAATCCCAGCAGCGATCTGACGCTGTTGGGCTTTCCAAAATTAATTCTGTAGGAAATGTAATCTGTAATTAATTCTGCGCATCTAATCTCGCATCTCATTGTGTTGTAGTTTGCTCGGAGCGTTATTGGATTTTCTACTCTCGGCCATCATACCGTCGCCATCATCGGTATTATTGTTGCTATTGTCATCATAATTTCGTTAATGATTTCCAGCGCGTCGCTGAGCGGATGATAAAATTGCACGTTTCAAAAATTTGTTTATGTCTCGCACTTCGTACGAACCCTTGATAATTGTAATTTCTGCGTCGTCTTTGCCGAAATAAAATTTGTTGTTTGATTCGTTCACGTTCGGTATCATATGATAAGTCTCAAAGATCATCAGACTGAGCTCGTAGTCGTCGTCACATAACTCTAGTTAGGTAGGAAAATAGTTTGCTCTTCCCGCTCAGCGTAAGTGTCAACGATATTACGGAAAAAGTGTTCAACGAATACTGAGATTTCGCGGCACCTCGTCGGGCTTTATAAATTCGAGCGCATCGACCGTTCGTAGAAACCGCAAGCACATCTGTCCGCAGAAGTTCTGATCGTACGTCTGACAGGACGTGAAATTGTACTCTATCATCGTAACACTGTTTCTGAAATATCGTATCAGTTCCTTGTGCGGTCGAAGATAATCGAAACTATCAAAGTACACTATGCTGTTCCTACACTATGTTGTTCCTTTTTGCGTAGACTATCTAATGAGTACCTGGCCTCGTCGCATGTGTCGTATATTATATATTTATACTTACAATCATATATTGTGTGCGTGTGCATGTGCGTGTGCGTGTGTGTATATATCATCTCTCTTTTTCTTATTATACGAGGTTTGATAAAAAAATAACGGGAATTTTCATTTTTCTCAAAGAATCTTTATTTATTCATCAATATCAATTTTGTCTCCTTCAAAGTAATCCCCCCTCAGATATAATACACCTGTGCCAGCGCTTTTTCCAATCTTCGAAGCACTTCCAGAACTCACTTTTCGGTACGGCGTTCAGCTCCTTCAGCGATTCTGTTTTTATTTCATCAATGTTGGCAAAACGTCATCCCTTCAGGGTTCTCTTCAGCTTCGGGAATAGAAAGAAGTCACAGGGAGCCATGTCCGGTGAATACGGTGGCTGAGGCAAAATAACGGTTTTGTTTTTTACCAAAAAATCGAATAAGCAGTGAGGTGTGAGCGGAAGCATTATCATGATGCAATTTCCACGAGTGGTTTTACCATAATTTTGGGCGTTTTCGTCAGATTGCTCACTCAAATGGCGCATAACGTCCAGGTAGTATTCCTTATTGACCGTACGACCGTATGGCAGGAACTCATGATGCACTACGCCATTAAAATCGAAAAAAACAGTGAGAAGAACCTTCACATTTGATCGAACTTGTCGAATTTTTTTCGGTCTTGGCTCTTCAAGCAGCTTCCATTGGGATGATTGGGCCTTGGTTTCGACGTCATACCCATATACCCATGTTTCGTCACCTGTTATGACCGTTTTGAGAAGTTCTGGATCGTTGTTGACTTCATTCAGCAATTCCTGAGCGATATCTACGCGATGTTGTTTTTGGTCGAAATTCAGCAATTTCGGAACAAACTTTGCTGCCACACGTTTCATGCCCAAAACATCCGAAAAAATTGCTTGGCATGAGCCGAATGATATGCCGACATCATCAGCAATCTCTCTGATAGTGATTCGGCGATTTTCCAGAATCATTTTCTTCACCTGTTCGACGTTATCGTCGGTTATTGATGTGCTAGGGCGTCCAGGGCGATCGTCATCTTCAACGTCTTCACGGCCCTCTTTGAAACGTTTGTACCACTCGTAAACTCTTGTTTTACTCATAGTAGACTCATCAAAAGCAACAGTCAACATTTCAAATACGGTGCTACACTATATTCCATTTTTCAAGCAAAATTTAATACAGATTCTTTGATCCATTTTTTCCGAAAGTAAAGAATCGTCGAGCACACCAAAACACGTATAACCTTTTCGACTGTCAACAATAAACTAAACATTCAAAATGGATGCAAATGTCAACATATACGTCAGAAACATGTGTACAAACAAGATGAAAAAAAAAGTTAAAAATTGGATTTATACAGCCCGCGAAATTAAAAAATTCCCGTTATTTTTTTATCAAACCTCGTACAATATATTTAATCATATAACATACATATTTAAAAACATAACAATATAAACTTTTTTATTAATTTAAATATTTTAAAAATTTATTATCGAACAGAATTGAGAAAAACAAAGACAAAATATTATTTATTTTAGAAAATTTCAAAAAATTATTACTTTATGTAAACGATTAATAATGATGAAACTTGCAAATTGTAACAATTGTTTTAATAATTATAAAAGACTGCATATGGGCTATCACACTGGGAAATCGTATTAAACTTTAATTATTTACATAAAGTAATAAATACAAAATAACTGTACTTGGCATCAATATTTTTATTATATTACTGTTGTACATATAATAAATACAACTGATAAAAAGCATATAAACATTTTAAAACAAAATTATGTTCTTATTAATTAATCCCAGTGAAAAAATGATGTAACGAACAATTGCTTAGGTCTCCGTAGCTTCATTGCAAGTTCCATCATTTTTAATTTTTGTTGCACATAATTAAATGGAAAAATTAAATTATCAGTAGACTTTGAATGAATCTCAGATTGCAATGACAGTTGATTTTTCAGGAAAAGTGTATATTTTTTTTTTGACATCCATACTTTTCCACAAATAAAAATTGCCGATGCCATTGCTTCAGAGCCCTAGATTACTTCAATTTTCATTATGTAATTATTGTTTAAAAGAACTACGTTATTGGGGGTTCTGTTTATAATTAGAATAAAAAAATTAATAGTTACTTTAGTAATGTGTAAAGTAGTATTATTGATTTTAAATTCACTTGGCAATGAAATTATTGTAGTTTTTTCAGTTTAATTGTTTTTTTCGACAAACTTGGACTAATGGTTTAACAGAAGTTTGAAGGGTTTGTTTAATTTTGCTTAAAGTATTTTCAAACGGAAAACAGTTGATTCTACTTAAAGAACACCCCAATTTAGAGCATTATCAGCTGTATGAACAAGATTGTATATATTTAAAACTTGAGCTTCTCTATCATATAACTCTGGTACAAGTAAAAAAAATTTTTTTAAACATTGGTTAGCCTTAGCATTAAATTGTACTGCAACCCAATCGGAACATAAAATTTTAAATGCAAACTGTAATAATAAAAAGTGCCTATATAAATTTTTGGAAATAACATTTTGCAAAACAATGGGATCACAATATAATAAAAAAAACCTAAACTCCGTAGCTTTCCACTGATGAACGCAAAAAGGTGATCTGGTTTTTCTTTGAAACTCTGATGGTATTTGTAATCTTAAAGAAAGAAGCCTTTGCGAAATTATCATTTCTTGAATTCGAGTTAATTTAATTTTTAAAGGACCGTACATTAACATCTCAAGCAATTTCTTCATCACACCTATGCAGTCTAGATGCATGTAATCGAGAATAAAACTAGTCGTCATATCTGATGCAGATTTTCTAAGGAAGATTCTCCCATGTGATGCTCAGGATCATCTTTATTTTGAAATAATTCATGCAGCAAGGATGAATAAATCATTCATAGTAGCTATTTACTGCGGTAGTAGCAAACCCAAAGACTTATCGCAATATATAAAACAGTTTATAGCAGAATTAAATTATTTGCAAAA